CGATGAAGGGATGTTTTCTCTGTAGCACAGTTCATCTCTTCCCTCTGGTCTCTTCCTTCACTCCCATCAGGCATAGACACCCAGGAGACATTGTATAGGAAGCTCCCTCTGTAAACTTTTAGACTCTCCAAGGAACCAACTTGATATGCTGGTTCTCCGAGAAACCAACTTGATCAGATGATTATTTCTGGTATGGCTTCTCAAGGTCAGTTTCCAATGGAGTTCCTTCGTTCCTTTGACCTTTTCTTCTGGCTCCATTGACTGGGTCTAGCAAAAAACCTTTCCCTCTTCCAGCCATTGGAACCACAGTCTCTGAATGGCACCTCCTTGGCCCTGATTGGCTGGACATAGGTCCATCAACTGGAGAGTCTGACAAGGACCTCAGAAGTCAGCTGCCCAAATCTTCTTGAGACTTCTATATTAGTCTCATTGCTAAGAAGGGGTCCTAGAAGTGGAGAAGCTGATAGTTGCCCACCACTTGCTTCTGCTCCTTCTCTCACACCCTTGATATTCCTGAGCTCTTAAGACAGCCACTAGTCACTTTCCTCCATCTCCTCTTTTTTTTTTTCCAGTGTAGAAAAAGGAACATTTAAAGCACAAGGAGATATTTCAAGCACAGGCAGAACTTCTCCCCCAATATGTTGCAGAAACATCACTGAGCAAACAAACTACTGGGAAGTGAGGCTTGGAAACAAACAGCAGCTGCCACCATTGATGAGCTGCTTTTGCTTCCCTTAGGTTCTTTCTCGTGCCATTTGTAGCAAAACTGGCTGCTCAAGTGGCCTAGTGGTTTAACAAAGAACATCCTGAGGACTCTTTAGGTGGTCTTGACTGGGTCCTTTACCTGTGGGGTGATGGTGCAGGCCCTGCTCCTTTCCCTTATAGTGTGATCCCCACCTGTCTGGACCAGGTGGACATAGCTAGAACTTCTGGCATCTGGGGTTTTCTGAAGTGTGGTTTCTTGCCCTCCTGGCTCGTAAGAGTAAGTAATTCTAATTCCAGTGTTTCCTAGTGACTAAATGCTGGCATGCTCTCTCTCTCTCTCTCTCTCTCTCTCTCTCTCTCTCTCTCTCCCTCTCATCTGTCTGTTTGTCCTTCTCTTCTCCCCTCTCCTCCCCTGACCCCGACCCTGATCCCTCTCCTTTGCTGGTACAGAAATTTGAACTTAGGGACTTGTAGTTACTAGGCTGGTACACTACTATTGAGCCATGCCTTCAGCCCACTTTTTCACCATCTATTTGTAGGATAGTGTCTAAGTTCTTTCCTGGGCAGAAACACAAGCTTCAGTTTGTCTGTCTTAACTTCCCTGTAGTTACTAGGATCACAGGTGTGCAACACAGCCTCCAGCTTCCCTTCATAGAGACGGAATCACTTGGAATTTTCTGCCTGGGCCAATCTGAAACTGTGATCTTCCCAATCCCAGCTTTCTTGGGATGACAGGTGTGCACACTGTGCCCAGCTGTGGTTTAGAAGGGGTCTTGAGTTATCTGCCTGGGCTGGCCTTGGATCTCCTGTTTTTAGCCTCCCATGTAGTTAAGATTACAGATATGAGCCACTGACACCTGGCTTTATTGTTTTTATCCTTTTATTTTTTTGGCATTCATTAGGCTTGAGTCTGGGTGCTGTCCCTGAGCTGTTTTTGCACAAGGCCAACACTCTACCACATTGAGCCACAGTGCTACTTTTGGTTTTTCTGGTGGTTATTTAGAGATAAGAGTCTCAGATTTTCCTGCTCAGGCTGGCTTTGAACTGTGATTCTCAGATCTCAACCTCTGGAATAGCTACGATTATAGGTGTTAGCCACTAGCACCCAGCTGGCTTTATTCTTTTAATTAATTTTTTCCCCTAGCACTAGTGTTTTTGGAGTTTAAAGCTCTCTTAAATTGTTACATTAAAATCTTTTGCTTTTTTTCTCATAGAGTGACTACTTTCCCTCTGAAAGCATTTTGTGTTGGTAGGAGTGTAAACTTGTCCAATCACTTTGAAAAGCAGTATGGAGGTTCCTCAAAAGACTCCACATAGAGCTCCCCTATGAACCAGCAATCCCACTTTTGGGCATTTACCCAAATGATCACAAACAAGACCACACTAAAGCTACCAGCACAACTATGTTTATCACAGCATTTTTTTTTTTACCATAGCTAAGATATGCCCCCTTAGTAGATGAATGGATCAAGGAAATGTGGGGTGTGTGTGTGTGTTTGTGTGTGTGTGTGTTTACATCTCTCTCTCTCTACCTATCTATCTGTTTATCTATCTATCTAATGGAATTCTATGCTTCCATCAGAAAGATTGACAAAAAATTCTATTAAGTGAAGTAAGCCAGACCCAAAGAAACATAGGTCCCATGGTTTCCCTTATTTGCAATAATTAGTATACATCTAGGATAATCTTACCAGACAAGCAGAAAAAGCCAAAAGCTATGTACACATGACCATATTAGATGATGGTAAGTGAAATGAACCTAAGATAGGGACACAAGAGACTTTATCTTAGTTTCTGTTGTGATTTTTTTTGTTTCTTTTGTATGTTCTTCCCCCTGTGGTATAACTCCTGTTGTCACTGTATTTGATTCAGGTGCCCTGCATCATGTATATACATTTTTCTAATTTGGAGAGGGGAAGGGAAGTAACAAAATGCTGAAACAAGGATACAGGTTGACCCATTATAGCAATGAGATGTACAAGATACTATGTTGAAAACAAACTTTACAACTTGGGGGGGGGGGAGTTGGGGAGGTGGGGAGCAAAGGGATGGATAGTAGGAGAAAAAGGAGGGGGTAACAATGCTTGATAGGAAATTTACTCATTACCTTACTCATGCAATGTCCCCTCTGTATAGTATCTTTACAATAATACACACACACACACACACACACACACACACACACACATAATAAAAGCAGCCAGGCGCCGGTGGCTCACTCCTGTAATCCTAGCTACTTAGGAAACTGAGATCTGAGGATCGAGGTTCAAAGCCAGCCCAGGCAGGGAAGTTCATGAAACTCTTTTCTCCAATAAACCACCAGAAAACCGGAAGTGGCACTGTAGCTCAAGTGGTAGAGCGCTTGCCTTGAGCTGAAGAGCTGAGGAACAGCGCTCAGACCCAGAGATCAAGCCCCATGACCAACCAAAACATAAATAAATAAAAGCATTTTGTGAATTTCAGTGCTACTGGCATAAAACCCTCCGATTAAAAGTGAATATTATAGGGTTGTGTGTGTGTGTGTGTTTGATAGTACTAGGATTTGAGCTCAGAGATTTCCAATTACCAAGCATGTGTTCTGTGACTTGAACCAAAGCCTTTTTTGCTTTATTTTATTTTTTCATAGTCTTGCTTTTGGCCTGCATCAAGCTACCAAGGTTGTCCTACCTCCACAGGAATTACAGGCATGCGCCACCTTGCCTGGCCCCTATCAAGTATCACTAGATTGCTGACTGTGTGCAAGGCATTGTGTTAGGCCCTCACTCTTCACAAAAGCTGGGTGATAGAGACATCATCCCTGTTGACAGGGATGTTGACAGAGGGGAGTCACCATGTTGATTGTCCGGTGTTCCCACAATCACCTTGACAGTCATGACCCAGCTAGTCTTCTATCTAAGTCTGTCTGAATCTCCTCAACTCAGGATGTCCCCCTCTGGCTGCCCCTCAGTCACCCACCAAAATAACACGTGACAGTGGTCTCCTAGGTGTCAGGTAGGAGGACATGCGAGTTTATGGTCTTTCTTTTAATCTCTCAGAGAATTTGTGAACTCACTTAATAAATTCAGATCTCATGTGAAAGGAAACGTTTGGTTTTTATTGAAAAATCTTTAGGCCTGGGAATCTTTGGCTCCTATTGACAGGATAATAATTAGCTCTGGCAAAGTCAAGTACTGCTTCCTGGTCCTCTGCTTCTCACCTAAAGAAAGGACGCCCGGCCTCTCCAGTGGCCCAGGCCACACTTCACTTGCTTGCCCAGCTTCTACAGGCATTTAGCTTACTGCATCTTGATTTATGCCTTTAAAGATGTGATTTCGTTCCAGGTGGGAGTTACTAAGAGTAAAAGCCAATTTCTGCCTCTGCGTTAAATTTTATAGGCTTTGCTTTCTTTTGCTTTTCATGGGGTTGAGACTGTAATTCAGTAACAATAGTGGTAATTATAGGACATTTAGTGAACACTGTAACATCCAGCTGACTCCCAAGGGTTAGGAGGCACCTGTGTGACCGCAAGAACTCGCAGGGTTCTTGAGTTTGGTTGGAATTCTCAATCCTGTAGCGACCTTCAAAAGCATAATTTTCAGGGTAGCATTACAGACAGGAGAGATGAGCCCAAGGAGAAGCATTCTGAGAAGTGCATGTGGATCCCATAGCCTCATGGAGATGTGATTTCCATTGGGCAGATGCTCTATGATGTAGGAGTACCCTTCTCCCTCAGAGCCCACCTCAGTGAGAAATTGTGTGTGTGTGTGTGTGTGTGTGTGAGAGAGAGAGAGAGAGAGAGAGAGAGAGAGAGAGAGAGAGTGTATGCATGAGAACATGTGTATGCAAGTACTTGGGCTTGAACTCAGGGCCATGGAGCTCTCCCTTAGCTTTTTCACTCAAGGCTGGTGCTGTATCACTAGAACCCCATCTCCGCTTCTGGAATTTTTTGCTGGTCAATTGGAGATTAAAAAGCTCAGAGACTTTTCTACCTGGGTTGGCTTTGAACCTTTGTCCTCAGATCTCAGCTTCCTGAGTAAATTGGATTCCAACGCATGAACCTCTGGTACCTGGCTTTTTGTCTGGTGTACACATATTTCATGAAAGTATAGCATGAAGATAAGATGAATGGAGCTAATGAATGAATGGAACTTCAGGCGAATTTGACTGTTTTTTTAAATTGATAATATTCAATTTTAATACCCTACAATCCATGCAAATAAAATTATCTCTTTGCTCCTTTCAAAATATTTGCTTTTGATTGAGATAGTGCCTGGAATATTGTTTTGATTTTTGTGGCCTGTTTATTTGTCTTTCAGGACCCTGCAGGGATCTTTGAATTGGTGGAACTTGTTGGAAATGGAACGTACGGGCAAGTGTACAAGGTAAGTCATGGTGTTTGTGTGAGGCATGGGTGGGCCACGTGGGCCACAGTGCTGTTGTACATACTTGCTCATAAATGCCTAGCAAGATGCAAAATGAGATATTGTATTTGGCCATTGACTCTCCACCTTCTGGAATAGATCTGTAGATAGAGTGCCCAGACTAGATTCTGTGAGTCAGGCCTTTCCTCTCAGTATGTGTTACATTGTTCGTATGTGATCATAAATTCTGGTGCTGTGGATTTGAAGCTTGTTTAGGGGATAATTTCCTTTCCTTTAAGCACTACCAGAACTTATGTTCTAGTTCTTTTTTTCTTTTTGTAGCAGTCCTGGGGATTAAACTCGGAGCCTTGCACTCACAAGGCAGGCGCTCTACCACATGAGCCACGCTTCCAGCCTCTCTCTGCCTTAGTTACTATTGGTTCTGCTGGTTTATAATAGTTAAACAGAGGGAGACTTTATTGGTACATCTCTGTATATGTGTATACTATATTCCAGTCAGTCTCCCCACCACCCCATCCTACATCTCTTGCCTTAGGCCTCACTCTATACCCAGGTGCTCTTGGGGTGGGATCCTCATGTTGATGCTGATGATGCAAGTCCGGAGACGTTGGCCAGCTATTGTGCTTCTCTAGTAGCTGGGATTAAAGGCCCATACCGTGGTACTCCAGCCATTGGCTGAGATGGAGTCTCATGAATTTCTGCCTATCTAGGCTGACCTCACACCATGATCCCTCAACCTCCATCTCCCTTGTAGTTAGGGTGATAGTCTTGAGTCCATACAACTCATGCCAAATGAACAAAGGATCCCATTTGCTTTGAAAATGTAAGCTATTAGACAATTGAGGCTGGAGAAGTGGACTTGTGGTTGGCCTAGGACACAGGTGAAATGAATTTTGTGAACAGTGTTCGGAGGAAAGGAAGGCTCAGAGATAGTCAGGCGTTACACAGTTGGGAAGGATTGAACTCCCCATGCTTTTGCTGCTTTCTGCTTACAGATTCACTCAGTAGTGTCTTAAAAATATAATTTTATTGTTATTATTAAGGTATTGTATAGAGGGATTACCATTTCATAAGTCAAGGTACATTTGTTTTTTGCGGGCAAAAATATTCCCCTTCCCATCCCTGTTCATAAGTTGCATACAGTTCATTTTCCACATAGTGGCTACTGAGTACCAGGATTGTGTTTGTTCCCTTCTTTCTCCCTTTCTGTACCCCCACTTTGCCCCCACTAAAAAGAACAAAAATCCAAAAGCAAAAAAAAAAACCCAAAAACCCACCACCATCACTACCACCAACAACCAAAAATCCTCCATGTTTCCATTTTCTGGGATGCCTTTTGATTAATAGTATTTTAAATGTTCAAAGGAGTTATGCCTTTGGGTTCCTCTCCAGTGGTATCCTCCCTTTAGTATGACTGTATGAGTGCCTAGAGCCATGTGTAGGTTATCATGTCCCATGGTATTTTATATCTAGCTTCCACATATGAAAGAAAACATGTGCTATTTACCTATCTGAGCTTGGCTTACCTCACTTAACTTGGTTTGTTCTAGGCCCAGCCATTTACCTACAAATGTCTATAGTGTTTTAAAAGGGTATTTTTCTCTAATAAATTACCTAGGATTTTTTTTGAAAATTCAGTTTGATATTTCTTTTGATTATCTAAAGGAAACAGAAATGAAGTGTTTTGGATTAAAACTTTGGGGGTTTTGGTAACCAAGTTATTGCAATACCCTTGAAATAACCCATCTGTTTCCTGGTGATTATTTCTTGGGAAATAGCCATCGTTTTCTTCAGTGTTTATAATATGAGATGATATTTCCATTACAAATTATCTCTCATTATTATGGCTTTAATTCTTTCTTTGGGCCTTAAACTATTTCTCTGAATTGATTAAAATCATTGTGGGAGTCATTCAGAGTGTTTTATTTCCACTTCTACAGAATGTCACCAGTGTATGTATAAGGTATTGGTGAGAATCTGGTTTCTGAAGCACAATCATAAGCCAATGCATATTTATGTCTTTATTTACTGGGCCATCCCATTTGCTATGCACTCTAGAGGGGAAATGTCTCCCTTGCAATGAACAATCATGTCTTAAAATGTCAGCCTTCTACAGCTAGACAGAATGTAGTCTAGCCAAGCTGTTCACTTGACATTGATCCTGTCTGACACAGAAAGAAATGGGTCTCAGAAAATGCTTTTAAATACTTTCAATGAAGATAATTAGGTTGGGAGATTGTGTTATTGCATTTTGGGAAATCAGATTGAACTTGTGAAGTAATGTGGCTAATGAATGAAGCTCTGATTTAGGGAGAAAATTACTCTTGATTTGCTGTCAAGGTGGAGAAGCAAATCTATAGCCCATTTTGGGCTCCATGTGTCCTTTTTTACAGCTGTTTGGCTATAGATGCTTCCTACCTGTAGAGTATACATTTGGGGGGCAATGTATAGTTTTTTTCCACTGTTCAAGGAGTAAAGCAATACATTCTTGCAAGAGTTGATACCACAAGCATTGATCACAGAAGAGAAAGTTTAGAAAATCCAGAACTAACCCTCATCTCATCACCAAAGTCTTAGACCTTGTTAAGAGAGATCCATCTAGAAATCCATTTAGATTAGAAATATAAGTGTTTTATATAAAGGCTAATAGTTAACGCTATTTTCCAAAGTTCCCTGTTTGGCACATGGCTACTTATTTTTGGTAAGGGGAGACATGTTTATTTTTTCACTTTGGTACTAGATAATCAAGTAGCAATTTGATATGTATACATACATGTATGTATACATGTATGTATGTATGTATGTATTTCATTTTATTTACCAGGCAGAATAGGTAAATAACATTGATTAAATCATTTTCTGTCAGAAGTTTTTAAATAAAGAAACTCTTCCTGCCCCCATGACTCCCATTACAAATCACAGCAGCACAAAGCCTCTCTCTTGTTCGCTAACGTTCTTGGCTGCTGATTGGCATGTCACCTATTGGGAGCCTAATGACCCTGACACATTCTTGGAGAGATAGAGTCATTATTTTGAGAAGTCAAAATAAAAAAAAATTGTTTAATGTTTATTGCCAAAACACTACTTCTAATCAGCCACACACATTTCTCATCACCCTCTTGAAATCTACATGGTGTTTACCAAATTGTAGCCGTAGTTTACCCCCAGGGTGACAATGTGAATTAGGAATATGGTGAATTCCATAGTATGGCTCAGCTCTCTTTTCAGTCTCTTTAAGATTGTGATGAGGAGAGTGAAGCATCCATCTTGGTGGTTTTCGTGCTGAGAGAGAGAGACAGACAGAGACAGAGACAGACAGAGACACAGAGAGAGACAGAGACAGACAGAGACACAGAGAGAGACAGAGAGAGATAGAAACAGGGAGAGAGGGAGGGAGGGAGGGAACCCAGGAGAGGAGTGGAAGGGAGAGGGTATAAGAGAGGACATACAGAAATTGAGAGCCAGAGACAAAGAGAAAGAGACTGTCAGTTTTCAAAGGGTCATAAGGGCCATAGGTCATCTGATCTGATCTTTTCTGTCCTCCTTTATCCTTGGTCACTGTGAGTCACATGGCCCTCTTTACCTCCCAGTCCGTTCATTTCCCCGCAACTCCAAAGAATGTTCATTATCCCATGAGCCCAGCTTCTGCCTTCCCGAAATCTTCACTAACTAAACCCGACTTCATACCCTTAGAGCAGCTTAAAATTGCAAGCCAAATCTTCTTCAAGAACATAATCCTCCAGATATGAGAAAACTTCTTTCTCCAGGCCCTACCATGTACATGAGCCTCCTTTTGTCCAGACACCCCAGCTTAGCAACCTAATTTCATTGTTCCTCAGATATAAGTCCAAGACACTTCATTAATGTAGCTTCTGTTCCAAAACTCAACAGAGTGACTATAAGCAGTTTGTATTTCCAGCTATTTATTTCACCAACTCTTGTTGTTTATATTATTTAATTTCCAGTCATTTCATGAGACCCTGGTTCTTTATCTCAGAGGATTGTAGTGCAGTTCTCCATGGGATTGATCATTGTTATCCCACACTTGTGGTCTCCCTGCCTCCCCCTTAGGCCTTGGCTTCCTCTTCAAGAAGGCCACGTTTCATCCCTGAACCCATAGTAGCCAGCCACTGTCTCAGCTGCTCTCTACTATGGACTTTACCACGCGGTCAACTTTTTTGTAAGCAATTGAAAAATAAGGTCATAGACTTTGTCTAGACCCTAACTATCCCTGATATGACACACAGAAGCTTGTTGACAGTTGTAGGGTCCCGAATCAGACTCAGTTTTCTTTGGCAATTCTTTTTTTAAAATACCTCTCCAGCACTATGAGAAGGGAAACTGACATTGAATTTTGAATTCTCTTAAGAGCTAAAGATTAATCCCTGCCCTTCCAATTGAATCTCAATATTGGAACACTACATTATTTGAGAGGAAATTATTGAAACTAGGCTACATCTGGAAGTATAGTTTTGGTACCTTGTTAGATAATTAATTTTATTTATTGATCATTGATTATTACCTACTATGTAAAATGTAAAGGTAGGTAGTACTATACATTGAATAAATGATTGAGCAGCAAATGCATATCTATAATGTTGGCTTTTTCCTAAAACTTAATGCAGACATTGTGTCTTCATCATCTTTTAAAATTCCCAGGTGCTGAGTACTTAACACAGTAGGCTTTTCTTCTTTCCTTCCTTCCTTCCTTCCTTCCTTCCTTCCTTCCTTCTTTCCTTTTCTTTCTTTCTTTCTATCTTTCTTTCTTTCTTCCTTCCTTCCTTTCTTCTTTCCTTCCTTCCTTCCTTCTTTCTTTCTTTCTTTCTTCCTTCCTTCCTTCCTTCCTTCCTTCCTTCCTTCCTTCCTTCCTTCCTTCCTTTCTTTCTAATTGTTAAGCTGAAGGAGTAGCTCCAGTGGTAGAGCACCTCATTAGCAGGAGTAAGGTTCTGAGTTCAAACCCCAGTAATGCCAATAAGAAAAAGCAAATTCTCAGGATATAT